ATTAATTTTCGTATCATTGTTACTGTATTGATTGATTATGTATCTTGCAAGACCAGAGCGGTTTCCTTATAAATAATTATCGATTATATTATTATTTTGCCCATGCATCGCAAGATTGAGACTGAAAGTTGATAACCGAACATTTGTCTACCGTTGTAATAAAATAAACAACATAGCCATAGGACCCTAGCTGGGCACGTATCTCTCCCTCCCCCCTCCCCCCTCCATTCCACATATATTTTTACCGATATAATATACTATAGAAAACCTAGCAACTTTATGCTGGTGTCCTTTCAAAAATAATGTCTAATAACCGTGATAACCACCTGTTGTTGTTTTTTTTTTTTTTTTTTGGGGGGGGGGGGGCTTAACAGTGATTTTTTATCATTTCCTACGGGCCTGAACAAAGAGAAATCATCTTTATTAAGCATGTGTATTTCATCCATCCACACTTAAGGGGCTGTCTCCTGGTTTCACAAACTTGGTCACTGGTCGGTTTCTAATACCTTGTCACAAACTATATCCTCTTTGAAACCCGTATTGGTCACTGGTCACTTTCTAATACCTTGTCACAAACTATATCTACTTTGAAACTCGTATTACTATTTATTATTAATCGCTAGTCATTTGTTTAATTGCACACTAATAATTATTATCGACTACAATATGCCCCCCCCCCCCCCTTGCTCTTTGAATCCGATTAACAATATTTATTATTATGACATCAAACCTGTAAACAAAGTAGATAATAAGATGTTGATATTCTTGATATAAATCTATTTTAATATTTAAGAAGTTATGATATGAATTTAAGCATATTTTTCAGACCAAAAACCCAATATTTTTTTTTAATTTCGTTCTGATATATATAACGCTCTTTCTTGCATTGTAATATAATCAAATGACCTCTTCGGTATATTCAACGATTTCTTGAATGTCAAAACTTAGCAAAGGGGAGTAATTGAATCTTAAACCGCCTTTTGATTGGTTAGTTTGGATCTTGAATCTCGAAACTCGAATTTCGAATTTCGTATTCGAAACTCGAATCTCGAATGAGCCTTCTGGGCTTTCGTATACATGATATGATCTGATTATTCTTTTTTTATTATTAATTGGTCCAGATTTCTTCTTCAAGCGATAGTTGTTACATTTTAAATTTTAAATTCAAGAAGAATGCGTTGCTTTAGATTGATATATGTGGCCACTTAAAAGATACAGATACACAACAATGATCCTTGCTGACACTGAATATTGATGCCTTTTTTCCCAGCGTAAAATTCTCAACAAATCAGTAAGAAAGCAAAGAAAATCTTGAAAGCAAATAGAGTTTTAACAACATAGATAAAAAATTAAGTGTTCCATTGAGTGAATAATTGTATGTTGTTTTACGTCCCATTCGCGAATTTTTCGCTCATAATTGAGACGTCACCATGTATCAGTGAAGGGCTTGTCTTGTTGATAGAGTAGGTGGTCTTGATTGTCTGTAATAGTTGTATATTAAGCTTTGTGATTCTAAGTATCCGAATGGCTAACCGTAGATAAAATTTTTGTGGCATAAAAGCCATACGTGTTATGTCAATCGATTAGCTTCCATTCATTAAAACTTTCCAAAATATTTTATTTTCTCGAAACATAGATCATTAACAAATAGCCAATATGAAGCAATGGGAATTGAGGAATAGATATACGATATGAAGGCAAAACTCGGAGATTTAATGAATGAATCTACACGTATTTTCATATTAATAATTCTCTACATTAATGACAAACAGAAAAATTCAACAGAAAATTGATTTTCATTGATTGTTTTTTTCCTTCTCTAAATATAAACTCTTAATCACTATTTCTTTATACAAAATTAACTACAGTTTGAAAATATGCCATTAAATTAACTGAATGGTGACTAAATGGAACCTTCAGTAGACTGAATGGCGCAGTTCCATCCGGTACACTTACCATTGTTCTAAATCTTTTATCGTTGAGACTTGATAAAGACTCTAATGTGTCGAGGTAGGTCTGAAACTGAAGGGGTGGACAACACTGGGGGACAGTCCCGGGGATAAGAGAGACGGATAGACCGGCGAACAGGAGGGAGGCAATGGCAGCCATTTTAGAAGTGGTTTCTTATCGTGTAGTAACCGTCAAATGCTCCTGTGTCTCCAAATATCTAATCCCTAAAGCTCTGAAGATACAGAAAAAATAATTCCGGGCTACAAACTCAGGTGTATGATTTTCCTTTTTATACACATACAAATGTTTCTTTATCGATAATAAAACCGAAGAAAGATGTAATACCAAAACAGTAGAAAGGTGTATTACCAGGGAAAAAGGTCAATTTTGATTGGATAAAGTTCCATTATTCCTACAGGAATTCCTGAAGTCTCATTTATTTTCTTAAATAAACAAATTTTTGAATTCATTTATTTTCACACACCCCTCCCGATGTTTTGATCATTACATTGTACAGTGTTTAAATAAGTACTAGTATTGCTGCAAATTTTTACCTAGTTTAACATCAGTAAGTTTTCAGCTTTATAATATACTTTTGAAATACCTTTGAAAATTTTTAGCTATTTGACAAACAGCACTTCATTTCTTCATTTCAAATATTTATGTATTGTCTAACGTTTAGCGTCAGACAGTACTTCAGCTGTGGATCATGATATTAGAAATATGGCGTTCCCATGGCGTCTTATAAAATTTCAACACTTTTAAGCTATATACATGTCACTCCTTTCAGTCTGCATATTCAAATGAGAACTTTTAATACGATATGACATGCCATGTTTTTGACGCAATAACGAACATCATTTTGTTTGTCATCAGAGTGAGGGAAAAGCGATAGATTTATCTCCAAGAGTAAAATAAAGGATCGTTAAAAGTTACTAGTTTTCAAAACGAAACGAAATAGTAAGATATCAGAAGGAGCTTTGGACTAAACCAAAATACAGTGCGTGCTGTAACAAAGAGTTATCAGGAAAGGGGTTTGGTGGAGAACAAGCCCAAACCTCAGGAAAATAAACTGAGAACAGACTTTAGTTAAAATATCAAATACATATAGCATCTGAAATAATTTAAACCCTTACAATAATAATAATTTTTATACCCTTATCACCTGTATATGAGGTTTATGTCTCTCAGTTGATTAGATACGCAAGAGCATGCTCTACATACGAACAGTTTCTAAAACGAGGCAAGCTATTGACAAACAAGTTAATGAAACAAGAACATCAATAATCTCGTTTTAAGTCATCATTTCGCAAGTTTTATGGTCGATACAATGACCTTGTCAGCAAATAATATCTATCATTAAGTCAAATGCTGACTGACGTTTTTCATACTAATTGTTAGGCCATTATTTGGCACTGAATTGTCGACGGATTTTTCCGTTATTTTCCGACCATGACATGGAGTACACGGGCAGTGTGACCGATCGGCAGGGGTTGCTCACTCCTCTGAGGCACCTGATGCTGCCTCTGATGTTTTAGAGGTCCGTGTTTGCTTTGCTCCTGAGTTGTATTGGTTGAATGGACTTTTGAGCTTGAATACTGTTGGATATCTTTCTCCATATCTCAGCACAAAAAAGTTTGAAATATATGTGAAAAAACGTGCCCTGTGATCAAAATCATTTGTATATTTTACTTGTATCAACAGATTTTGGATTATATCATTATTTGTAGAGATAAGAGATAATCAATAACCTATTTATTTTTTCAGAGAGAGAGAGAGAGAGAGAGAGAGAGAGAGAGATCACAAGTTTGTACTATTATTTATATTTTAAATCTTACATTCATGTGCATACATGATGCATCAAATAACTGCATATTTAGATTTTACATTTCTTTATTAGAAATAATTAAAAGGAAATATGAACAGTTGTATCATTTCCTATCTGTTGAAAATAAAGTATAGAATAGGGAATGTGAATAAGGCAACTTTGTCTTACGCGAAGGTACTCGAAATTAAAGTTGGTAGGTGAACAGGCTTCAGGATCAGGGCAAACAGATGGTCCAAGAGGCAGAAGACTGGAAAATATCATTACACTTTTCTAAGGATGATAAGCATCCATGATTGAGACTGTGTGCATTGTTTGAAATGATTGTTTTTGCAAAATGAATGATTACTTTATTTAGGTAGGATTATTTGCATTTCCAAATGCTTCTTCCTACTTACCATCAATGATATCAAAATAAGGATATGTAATTGAACTTAAAGCTTAATAAATTACAGAGTAAATATTGATAGTAAATTAAAGTGCTGAAGATTTAAAGTATCACAATGATTCAAAAGAGCATGGTTAATTATAAAGAAAAAGTAGAAAAACCAAGGTTCATAGTGTATATATATATACTCCATTGAACTAATGTTTGACAGGGAAATCTTTGTTTTTATGTTTACAGACCATTTGCATGATCTATTGCTATATGTATATTTTTAATCTTTCATATACATTGTATAAAGTGTGCGCGTACAGCGTTTGCTGCGCTTGATACTTCATCCAATAACTGCTTTTCATCAATCAATAGGAGAAAATAAAAAGGATTGATTGATTGATTGTATATTGTTTAACGTCCCATTCGAGAATTTTTCTCTTATATAGAAATCACCGTTTACCGGTGAAGGGCTTCAAATTTAGACCTATACTCGACACTCAGGGACATTGAGCAGTGAGGGTTCTTTATCATGCCAACGCCTACCGTGACACGGGACCTCGGTTTATAAGGTTTCATCCGAAAGACCCGTGACTATCACTTCTAATGCCGGGCGCTTGGCGAAGGAACAGTCACTACCTATGATTACGTCTTAGGTCTTGACGCGGCGCGGCGAACGAGAATCGAACCCGGGCCTCCTGATCACGAAGCGAACGCCCTACCACTAGGCTACCGTGACCGGTAGAAAACAAGAAAGACAAAAATAAATAAATAAATGAATAAAAACATAGGACAAACAATTTTATTACCAAAGAATGATTATAAAGAAATTGGAAATATGCTATGAAAATTGATTGTGCTATGATTGATCAAGTGTATATGGTTTTAGATTAACTAGATTTATAAAAATTTTAAGGGAAAAAAGGATTTAGACCTCCAAGAAAATTAAAGATGTGATTTGGTTGGAAACGAGGTTTTCTGTCGATTTTTGTGACCTGCAAAGAAAAAGTATAATTATAGAAATTCTCAACTACTTCATTTATCAGGTACTGAGGAGAACGGATTTAATATAGTTGCTTTCTTCATAGATCTTAACTACTCTTAACACTATATATATATACCAATCAAAATATTTATATATTTTCATGCTTGCGAAAAATGTTTTCATGTAATCAATCAATACTAACATTTTTGAAGCACATTTTTGGTGGTATAAAGATAGACGGATCCTTGATTCCCATTGTCGTATTGTAATGGAGAAATAAAAGCTGTCCATCTGTAAAGAAAAAAAGAAATGTAGAATGTGGTGAATTGTAGGTTAAATTTGAAACAACTATTGTTTTATGTCATTGAAGGAAAGTTGTACAAGGTTGAGGAATATTGGACGAACATCCACCAATCTCAACAAAGGTACAATTCAATCCAACTCTTAGAATAACGTGTATTCATTCTGCGTCATCATATAGGTATCCAAGTTAATAATGTCGGGAGACACTCCCATAAATGCCCTCTGCACAAGTTTAGCTTCAGCTGAAAATACACAGTGATCAAATTTACCAATCCAGTACACGAATCTAAATGTGAACTGGGTAATAAATGGGTCCCTGGGAATACCAGAGGTGAAATTAGGTGCCTAAAAGGAGTAAGCATCCCCTGTCAACCGGTCACACCCGCCATTAGCCTTAAGTATTGATCAGCTAGACAGAGTATTCCGCAGTCAAATCCTATACAAAAGCAATGACTTCACAAATGGTATGAGACTTGTCAGAAAAAATACGAGCCAAGGATATGTAGTGCGTATTTCACGAGCAAGGTCATGATAACAACAGCTGAACTTGATTGTTGAAATCCTTGAATCCTGGCCGTATTCAAAGCATGTTCTTGCATATTGTAGGGATATCTTTTATTTTCTATCGTCATCTTCCCTTATTTATGTAGCAATGTACTATTCTCGCACATAGGGTGAAAAGCCAGATTTCCAAAATTTTGAAACCTGATGGAAACATATGGGGATCGTGACATCAGTTGTTTCCATATGGTTTCCATTTTACGGAAACCACTGTATGATTTTCACTTAGATTCCCGACATGGAAACAATAAACCTGTGGTTTCCCCCAAGACGGGAATCTTTGGAAACATGCATCAAAGGTTTCCTTCTATATTCCCGAATAGGAAACACTCAACATCTGGGGCCCGTTTTACAAAAGAACTTACGACTACGACCAACATTTAATTCTGCTTGTGACATTTTAATTTACGTTATATTGAAAATGGTTTTAATATTTAAAAAAATCAGTAAAATGTTTTTACGCTAGCAATTTTAAAAAGAATCATTAATTTTGAAGAATTTTACAATCAATTTAATTTTTTGGTCTTAGTCGTAAGTTCTTTTGTAAAACGGGCCCCTGGTTTCCACCATATATCCAAGATGGGGAAACTTTGGAAATATACATTTCTAACTTCCACCTATTTTCCATTTTAGAAAACGTGTACGTTGTGATTTATATTTATTTGCCCGATGATAGACATTTTGGAAACCTTTATCAAAATTTTGATTTGACTCTAATTTCCCCTTAATAAATTGTTAGTGTAATTCTGTACAATAAAATTGATTACGTGACAATAAACCCAAATTAAATGTAATTTAAAGTTCACATTTCACTCTCAGTAAAACTCGTACAGATACATGAACTGAAATATAGAAGTGTAACTTTTTATATAAATATCAATTGCACTGTAAACTGATAAGATAAAATTCAATCATTAAGCTGACCCTTGTGGTCGCGGGCACCTCTCTATCACGTGCCACAGGTGGCCTGGGGACACGTGTCACGAATACAACTGCTACTGTGTTTGTGTATGTTTTGTATATTCTATGTGATTTGAGATGTTTTTCTACCTAAGGGGAACAATTGGCTGTGCTCAAGCATGTACATACGCACAGTCTCCAAAAACTCGGTTTAAATTCAGGTGGCCATTGCTGGCCATCGATTAAAAACCCCAATTAAAAGCTTTATAGAAAGCAAGACAAAATAGTGATCAAATGACCTATTTTAAATTTAATTGTTAGATGTTCAATGAAAAGAAATAGAGTTAGGTTCCAATTTTTAGTACTGATTGAAGAAAAAAAAATCCTAACCTTTTAGAAATTAAAATTTTTTTCTATTGGTCTAGTATAAAACTAATGAATATTTTATTTTTAATTTTCATTGTACATGTACGAAAATCAAAATCATTTTTAAAATAAATTTATATGAATATTAAACATAATATGAAATAAATCTGCATTTGATGGTCTATGTGAATATAAAACATATGAAGATAAAGCCTCAATTAACGGTATTCCTTGTTTGACATCAATGTAAACTTCAAATATTGAAAACATAAAAAGAATGTATTAATTATCTAATTTTTTGACTGCGATCGATATTCTACAAATAACCACCAAATTACTAAGGTTTTGTGTGAAATTCGTAGGCCTCTGCAATATTTTTATCTTCCGATATACGCTTTTAAAGTGTATCACGAATATCTTATCATTCTATTTTAATACGAAAATAGAGCCGAATAATATTCATATACGTAAAAAAATGTGTGTTTCTAAATTTCGATTAAAAAAAAAACATAATAATTTTTGGTAATACCTGTGCATGGATAATATGTCTCCTAGTTTATTCCATACGCAAGAGCATTGTCTATATACGAACAATTTTAAAACGATGCAAGCTATTGACAAATAAGTCCATGATAAGGATATCAACAGTTTCATGTAAAGTCAACATTTCGCAAATTATATGGTTGATACAAGGACCTTGTCAACAATACAATATATCAAATATAGTCAAATGTTGACTGACGTTTTTCATACAAATTGTTAGGCTTTATTTTCTCACTGAATTGTTGAAAGATTTTTCCGTTTGCCCATTATGTCGAGGAGCACAAGGCGGGTGTGATTGGTCGACAAGGGTGCTTACTCCTTCCCGGCACCTGATCCCATGTCTTATGTTAATAGAGGTCTGAACTTCCTCTGCTCCCAATCTTTATTGTTTCAATGGACTTTTTAGCTTGAATTATGTTCGTTTTCTTCATATTTCACAACAAAAACAATGTAAAAACAATTAATGTTGCAGAGTAAACTATTAATTCTATATTGTAATTCTCATATGGGGCTTATTTTGTTTTATATTACCTGAATATTAAACAAATTACACACACACACACACACAGAGAGAGAGAGAGAGAGAGAGAGAGATTTAGAGAGAGAGAGAGATTTAGTTAAACCAGATTTCAGCGTATTATATATTGACCTGGAATACATATATTGTAAAAGGCACCGCTCTTAAATACTGTACAAGTATCCCGATTCCAGTTATATACTTTGCCCTGAAAAAGAAATTTATATATTTCAAGTATTCCAGCATATTTCAAGTTAAAGACTCCACCTTGTATTTCCTACAAATATACATCGACTATTGCTTCCAAACTTTTTAATTACAAGAAAACTTTACAGGGCCTGGATATCGAATATCTGAAGCATAATCCTCCATAGTGTTCATGTTCTTCTTCGCCCTATAACTATAGTCCTGCTGGACACGTTATTACTGGTGACGTAAATATAGTTAATAATGAGGACCTTAGATCACTAATCTTAAAAGGTCCTAAATTTAGGGAACCCAGATCCTTCAACTGGCGTCGGAATTTCATAAATATTATGGATTCTGTAGAGGACTACGCCAGGCGATGGACCAGACATGAAAAAGAAGACCTTGACACTTTGTCAGAATGGATTAAATGTATCAGATGTATGTTAAAATCGCGCATTAAAAGATTGAGAGGCAAAATGAAAACCATCTATCCTTCTGTATTCAATAATCCAGAAGTGAAAACAGATTTAGATAGATTACATGATCAGTACGTACTTGTCCCAGCTGACAAAGCAGGTAACAACATTGTCTTTGTTTGTAAGACTCATTATATTAAATGTATTTTAGAGGAACTTGGATTTAATTCTACAAGTGGTAATCCAACTTATACTCATAGTTCCCTTTCTAAGGAAGAAATTCTTCAAAATCATATGTCAGTTTTGAATATTTTTAATATTCCAAACAACCAAAATGAATTTGAATTACCATATTTATATTGGATTCCGAAACTTCATAAAAATCCTTACAAACATAGATACATAGCGGGTTCCAGTAAATGTTCAACCAAGCCTCTATCTTTACTCCTCACTAAGATATTAACAGTGGTGAAGGAGAAACTTCAAGAGTACTGTGCAACAATATATTCGAGAAGTGGTGTAAATCAGATGTGGATACTTAAAAATTCCAAGGAACTTTTGGAAAATTTGAAATCACAAGATTTTACCAAAATCAACAGCTTAAAAACTTACGACTTTTCAACTTTGTACACAACCATTCCCCACGATAAATTAAGGTCCAGGCTTTTTGATATCATTGACAGCTGCTTTTTCAATAAAAATGGAACTCGTAAATATACTTACCTTGTCATTGGTCATTTGCAAAATTATTTTGTTAAAAAACATTCTGATTGTTCACACAAGTACTCTGAAGTTGACATTAAAAAGATGCTTGAGTTTCTGATTGACAATATCTATGTGGTTTTTGGAGACCAGGTCTTCCAACAATCTATTGGAATTCCCATGGGAACCAATTGCGCCCCGTTATTAGCAGACCTTTTTTTGTATTCATATGAAGCAGAATTTGTCCAAAATCTTGTACGTGAAAAGAAGAAAACACTTGCCGTGGCCATCAACTCGACACTTAGATATATCGACGACGTGTCGTCAATTAACAATGGTTATTTCCATGTCGAAACGATATATCCCGATGAGCTTGAGATTTTACCATTTTTAGAGTCTGACATATCTGTTTCATATTTGGATATTTTACTTGAAAAAGACGTTAATGGTAATCTAACAACCAAGCATTATGATAAACGTGATGACTTTAACTTTTCAAACGTCAACTTCCCTTACTTATGCAGCAATATACCTTCATCACCTGCATACGGGGTTTATATCTCTCAGTTGACTCGATACGCAAGAGCATGCTCTACGCATATACAATTTCTAAAACGAGGTAAATAATTGACAAACAAGTTGATGAAACAAGAATATCAGCAGTCTCGTTCAAAGTCATCATTTAGTAAGTTCTATGGTCGATACAATGACCTTGTCAGCAAATACACTTTATCTTTGAGTCAAATGCTGACTGTCGTTTTTCATACTTATTGTTAGGCCATTAATTACACACTGAATTTTCGACGGATTTTTCCGTTATTTCCCGATCATGACAAGGAGCACACGGCAGGGGATGCTCACTCCTCCATGGCACCTGATCTTACCTCTAGTGTTTTGGAGGTCCATGTTTGCTCTGCACCTATTTTGTAATGTTTAATAGATTTTTGAGCTTGATTACTGTTCGTTATCTCCATGTATTTCATCTTATTTCAATATCCGGATAAGTTGATCGCACATGCCCATGTGAACCTTTGGTGGTACATTTTTTTTCATCAATATGGTTCCAAAGTTTAGGTATAGCAGAATGTATGAAGTTTTTTCCCCCTTTATAAACTTGCATCGAATACATGTACATTTTACATTTCTTTGTTGATGCACTTGTGGTCAGTGATTTTTCTGAGAACTTTCAAAATCGAAAAGTGATAATCAACTACATTTCCCCGATTATGACAAGGTGGACACGGTGGATGTGACCGGTCAATAGGGGATGCTTACTCTTCCATGGCACCTGATCCCACCTCTGATGTTTTTAGAGGTCCGTGTTTGCTCTGCTTTCGATTTGTATTGTGTCTAAATGGACTTTTGAGCTTGAATACTGTTCCATATTTCATCCAATAAATAAGAGAAGAAGGCTTCAAATCCTGAAACAAACATGATCTTATAATAATGACAGCAATGTACATTGTATATTTATTGATAATTGCATATACAAGAGATATACTGTATACAATATTCTTGTATATAATGATATATACATGTAGTCAAGTAAAGAAATACATATATGTATATTAAAGGAACAAAATTGATAATATCTATATACATATACATATACGTATAACGGGTATTTTCTGCGGTTGGAAATTTTTGCGATTTAACCCCTAAAAGGTTGCAAATTTATTTCTGCGTTTACAATTTCTGCGGTTGCACTATACCGCAAAAATTTATTTACGGAGAATGATCATGCACTAAACTTTATGAATTATCAAAACGCTGTCATGTTTACGTTTTATAAATTCATTAAGACATATTGATAAAAGGTGCATGAAAACTCGTATTAAGCTATTATGCTTAATTAAACTACTATCTTTTAATTAGTTTTTGTAAAAATATTTCGAGTACCAATTGAAATGAATTGATGCAGTGTCAGTCCACCCAAACAACAATACAAATCTTTATTCTAACAGACGTTTTATGCGATCTATTAAAATACTAGTGTTTAAATATATGTAGATAATGATAATAAATGCATCCAAGCCATATTCTAAAATACATTTCTAGTTAACTGCCATCAAAATTAATTTGGTGTTTATATTTTAAGCTAAAACAAACAGTTGCATAATGAAGTATCCCAAAGTTGACGGTTAACAATCACAGGTGTCATGTGCATTGAGGCGTAACTAATCCTGTCAGTCTTATGCATTGAGTTAAATTCACGAGACAATCGAGCCACATTGTGTATACAAGCAGTAATTATTGTCTCAATATAAAACACATGTTTAAAAAAGAAAAGCTACCATGTGTTGTTTGCAGCTATCGGAGTTTGGACTAATAATTGCGAAATAGGTACAAGTGAAGATGTTTTTGTATCAACTTATTTAATTGATATTATTTACAGCTAGGAAGGTTCTGATTCAATATGTTTTGGACAAATCCTGACATCTAAAATCTTCGAATTTCGATGACACCCGAATTTTCTCGCTAACGAGGATGTGGCCACTCATAAGTCTGCGGACGCATCGATTTTAAAACCTTGTGTTCCAAATAATTTTGCTGTGTCCAGTACGCAGGTTCTTACGTTAATGAGAACCCTGTCAGACATACGCACCACTTATCATAATTATCATAATTGCATGTACAAAATATCTGAATGAATATTGAAAAAAATATTTTGCGATTGTAATTTTTGCGGATTTATCCTATCCGCAAAATTCCGCAGAAATTGGACAACGGCAGAAAATACCCGGTATCTACAAACATATTTCATTTCCTCAATTAAATTTTACAAGGACACTAGCAAGAAATCTTATGATGTAAGGTTCTTAATTCGTCATAAGCCAATAAAATTGATTGTCATAACGTAGAGACTGAAAATTTTGACTAAAATGGGGATATACTAGAAGAAAATGAATTTAATACTAATCTCTAGGCTTGTGAAAGTAGAATAAGATATTTTACCATTTTTAAGCATATTCCTATCTTTTTCCCCATGTAATAATACAGAAGTTGGTAATATTTTTTAAAGTTTACTTAAAATTCTGGAAGTGACATGCCTAAAACATCACTAAATTTAATATTAGTCTGGTTAAGTATGAAGTTATTACAAGTATACCATGAAGTAAAACCATTATGGTGAAGTATTTTAGAATATTTATAAGCCTTAATAAAAAAGGCAAATTCGCCATCAAGATTCTCTAATCTATGCTAATTTAACAACAATGTGTATGCAATCATCCTTGCTCAGATCTTTTTTGCTGCTTTTATAGTGAGCAGTTAGCAAATTGTTGTAAAATTTAAAAAAAAGAAAGACTTTCTACCTCTACATTTAGGTTTTTTTTCGAATTTTATACACGTATTTGGATTTCTCTTAAATTTAGAAATTGATTACTGTATATGATGTACATTGATATAAAAAAAACCCCACTATTACTCGGAACGAAAAGGATAGTGGATTAAATAATGTGGCCAAAAAGATAGAAAGCAGCTTTTACTCGTCAAATAAATGTGAGAAAGTCTTTTTAAAAAGATTTATGACTCTGTTACAACAATCATTTTTTCATCGTCAGACCCAAATACTTGTACAGTTTAACACATTCGATGTTGTTATTATCCAGATTGAAAGGGATATTGATGTTAACCAGATGAATTGAAAACTATTACTTTTGTTTTCTATTTATTAATTTTGAGATACCAGTCTTTGCATTATGTACTGAGAATAGTAGTATTTTTTTTTTCTTTAAGACCCTCAGCAGTGGGTAAGAGATGTACCATGTCATCAGCATACGTGAGACAATGAATGTGTCAACGAGGCATTGTTTAATTTTATAAAACTTTCATAATTTGAAAGAGTATTTGAAAGCTGTATTGTAAAGATAAATCTTGAATAGATTCGGACTCATGTTAT